AAGGACCTCGGAGGCTTGGGGCGCGAACAATTTTTGCTGCGGCGGAGGGCGGGGGAGCCGGCTGGAGACTTCTCCCGGGGCCTCCGCTCCCTCCACCTGCCGCTGTGCAACCGCCGCCCAGCCTGCTCCCGCCCCGGCTCCCTCCCCGCCCCAGCGCGCCTCTGCTCACTTAGGCTCCTCTCTCCCCTCTCCCCTCCGCCTTCTCCCTCTTGCATTTCTCCCCCACTTTTCTCCTCTCTTTCCTCCTGTGCCTTCTTTGGTATTCTCTCCTCCTCCGGGCCGCCGGGAGGAGGTGAGCGCGCTGCGCCCGGGGCCTGCGCGGCGCAGAGGGAGGCGTTTCTCCCACTTCTCCCGGGTAATTTGGAGAGGTTGTCTGTGCGCGCGCGCGCGTGAATGTAAAGCGAAAAGGGGTAGGATCCAGCGCCAAGCAGAGAGGGTCAGGGTCTTTGACATTCCAAACCAGCTGCACAAACCTCCCGGAATAAGGAATCAGTGTGGGTGGGAGTGCGCGCGCGCGCACGGGCTGGCTGCGCTCGGCGCGTTGGGTGGCCCGGGGCCCCAGGGCCCGGGGGCCCGCCTGGCGGCCCGGGATTACCGTGACGTCACGTTGAGCCTCTGGCCACCTTGGACACCTCCGGAGCCGCACAGCCTCGCGCCGCGCCTCGCCTCACCTGGCCTCGCCACCACCGCGCGCCTTTGGGAACTCGCATCCTCTCCCTTCCCCGGCTCATCCATGGGCCCTTCTGTCTTCCGGACCTCGGGAGCCGGTGGAGCGCCTTCTAGAGCGCAGGGCTTGGCGGCCGGTCTGCCCTTGGCTCTGCCTCCAGTAACGCCGAGCGGGCAGAGGACCCGACGCTGGGCACCCGCAGCCGCGTAAGGAACTGAGGCAGGACCGCGGGGGCTGAGGCGGGAACAAGCTAAAGAAGAGGGAGGCGAGCCAGGCACAGCCACCATGGCCTTCCCGCACTTTGGTCACCCGTATGGCAGCGCTTCCCAGGTAAGAGGCGCCTCCTTGGGGGGCGGGGGCGACTGGATGGAAGGGGTACCCAGTGCACCCGCCTGTCCCTGAGCGCCCTCCTCTCGAGTGGCTCCCCCGGGAAACCAGAGGCAGCAGGGACCAGGTCACTGAC